CACACACACACACACACACACACACACACACACACACACACACACACACACACACACACACAGACATACAAATTGGGTTTTCTATTCTTGTGGGGACTTTGCATTGACTTCCATTCATTTTTCAGTCATTTCTAGATCTGGGCCCGTATTTGTAAAACTTCTTAGAATTACTCTTCAGAACGCTGCTAAGAGTGGACTTAAGTGTAAAAACATTCTTAGATAAAAGCTGAGAGTAAAAGTCAGTTATCAAGCATCTCAGTCTTACTTTAAGTGAAGTGTAGGAGTAATTCWTAAGTGTCAGTCTTAGAGCTGATTTGTGACACCTGGCTGTGCCGCAAAGCTGATCCTGGATGACGTTGTCAGAAAAACCCCCGACATGGACCAACCACTGCCTCGGATTTCAYGTTCAAGCATATTRTMKGAGAAATGTCAAGATAAGTCTGTGAAAATGCTAAGATAAGTTCATTTTCAACACACTAATGTTGTCATTTTGTACTGATCGTCTGTAGAAGTACATAAAATGTCCTCATTTGCCTCATGAATACAGATGAAAAAAATTTTAAATCAAAAATTCAGCAGCTTTAAAGTTGTTTTATGTCTCAGARCCTGAGGTAATGTTGAGCTGCTCCCTTCTGCTCTTCACCACTGTCTGCAGACAACACCGGCTTTACACACAGACACACACACACACACACACACAATGCGCTCACAACCCGCTCCATCATTAACAGCTTGGTCCGGCAGGAGCGCAGCCCCACTCCCCGCATCATTGTATCCCGTGATTGTTACCAGAATAAACGAAACGTTCCCACCGTATTTTAGAATATTTTCTTTAAAAATATTTCTGGGGGAGGGTCGCATGCACTCGGTATAGTTAATATTTTCTCCAAATGCCACACACAAATATCCGCCTTTTAGTCCAACACTATGCACAGTTTTTTCTTACCTTTGTTTCTTTTGTATATTTCTGATTAAACTTGTTTTCCACCTTACAACTGAGAATAACACTCAGGTGGGGAGGAGGACAGCTGTCTTCTCAGCCCATCTCAGTAGTGACAACTCTTAACTACTTAAGAGTAGGGTTGGGTATTGAAAGGGTTTATTKCGATACCGGTGCTAAATCGATACTTTCAAAACGGTACCGGTTCCTAAGCGGTATTTAAATCGGTAGTTTAAAAATAAATAAATAAAACACACAGTCACACAGAGGTTTATGAAGCAATGACTATTTCTGAGGCAAAGTCAAACTTCAAATTGACCAACATATTAACGTAAAACAAGAAAACATAAAAAAATAAATAAATTCATGTTTTATTTTATCTAGTGCTAAATATTCAGT